TCCTGTCAAATGTAATTCCCAGCTACTTCAGTTTGCTCTCTCTGTTGACGTTCCTACCATCTATCGTGAGACTTGGGACATTAGCTTTAACGATTCTGTTGTCCAGAGAACACCACAAAACAGAAGCCTTTTCCAGGTGGACAACAGCCCTCATTGCTGTACACCACGCAGTCACTTTGTCTACTGTCGCCTGTAGCTCCCGGGCTGTTTGTTCCCTTTCTTCCCCCTGCCTATATGCAAGTATATCATCCGCAAAAGTCAGTATCCTTCCAACTCCTCTTGCTTCTAGGCTTGCAGTCTTGCTCTTATACACGTTAAAGAGCATTTAATGCTCAGTTTGTCTTTATGCGATGAATAAAACTGTTTGTCTTTCATTATTTTTTTTATGTTCATGGGAAGTTTAGTTAACTATCCTCAAACCACTTGACGGTTGCTGCTGTATCTGTTTTTAAAATTAGGCTTTCGTTGAGAATGCACTGGGGCCTTGCCAATAGCATTGTTTTCTGAATACACCTGCATCCACAACTCTTCTTTGCCTTCTTTGTAGTATTACTGTTTTAAACTGCTGTCTTTAGCAGATTTTTAAAAAAATTATTAGTTTGAGAACCGCTGCTCTAAACTGTCGACTTTTACGATGTTTCGTTTCTGAATTTATTAACCTGACACATCTGTATTTCCAATTTTCTAATTTGCATAACTTTTCTGACATTCCATGTACCAAAGTGTCAGCAACTTTTAACATCAACTCACATTTTGTAGCACGACAACGCGATTGGGTTTGATTCTTCATTGAAGCGGATTCCCTGTCCCCCTTTTTTACTTACTTACTTAGTCGCTCCTCTTCTACCTTGGGGTGTAGAGGTTTGCCAGAGAGATCGCCAGACGTCTCTATCAGCAGTTTTCTTTCTGGCTTTGTTCCATTCCAGTCTTCTGTCAGTTAGGAACTGTCGGATGTTGTCTTCCCAGCGCACCCTGGGTCGTCCTGGAGGTCTGGTTCCCTGGTTCTTAGCCTCCCATGGTGGCCGATTTTCTCCCATACTGCATACATGTCCAAACCATCGTAACTGTGACTGATCCACTCGGGTTTGTAAGAACTGGGTATCAAGATCTTGACGTATTGTCCGATTTCCCCCTTTTTTCCCGCACATCAAAGGGTACTATGTAATGTCCTGGAAGGTGAAGGCGACCAGCGCAACGTTGGTCAAACCATCTAAACATCCCTGTGTGGTTTCCAAAGCTCCGTTGTGGTAGAAAAACAGGAACAGTCCTACTGCCTCTCCAACAAGCATGCCATACGGATCTACTAATTGGAGGAATCCTTCGAAGTATATCTAACTGAGACGCAAAGAACCACGAGTATGCATACAAATAATGTAACCCGTTTTATCCAAAATGTTCAAGTTAAAAGCTGTCAATGTTTGGGTCCGAATAAGTTAAAAAAAGTAACACTGGACAGCAGTAACCAAAAATAACGGTCTGATAAAGAATAAGTTAGTACTACAAATGCTGCAACTGCAATACAAGAGTGTCAAACATGTGTACTGCCTTTGCATTAACCAATACTGCATGGTACAGGAGTATGTCTTCTGCCCCTTTTTCACTTCCTCTTTAAGTACCGGGAGAGAAAAAATATTGTTCTATTATTCATTACTGACTTGCTAGGCTAGTCGCAAATTCACTAGTGCCCCGCCGGTAAGTGCATTTCAGGATGAGCCAGGCTGGCTGTTGAGGCTACCGCTCCATTTATGTGACACAAGGTCACAACATACTTCACCCAATCCCGCTGTGGTTAAATGCAGAATGGGAGAGAATTGGCAACTATTGCAGGCAAAAAACCTGGGAACCAGACCACCATGATGATCCAGGGTTCGCTGGGAAGACACCGTCCTACAGTCCTGGACGAACAGAGGACTCAAATGCAACAAAGCCAAGAAAGAAAAAACTGCTGCTAGAGAAGTGTGGCAAACCTATAAACCCGAAGCTAGAAAAGAAGCGGCTAAGTCAGTAAAAAAGTAAGAAGCCCTACAGATTTAAGCTGTAGCTTAGGCCTAAATCCAGCGCTGATATGGGATCTTCATGTTGCATCACACTCTGATGCAGCAAGGTCACATGGTTGAGTTCAGAAGTGTGCTTGTCATGGAGATACATGAAGATCATCACTAATGCTAGCCGAGTTCATGCTTGACCTGATCCTCTCAGCAGAGAGACTGAGCCACGCTGGATAATACCATGTGTAATAAAGTTGATCCTAAGTTAGCTGTCAACTGATCAGTCAATTACTAGGATCTAACAATGGTGACACAATGAAAGAAATTAAACGGCGACTATCAATTGCTCTTCAAAGACTAAAACAACTGAATAAATTATGGAATTGTACAGATAGAATTACAAAGGTCAGATTTTTAAGAGCATGCATCTTTCCCATTGCAACATACGCCTGTGAGACCTGGACACTTACTAAACAAGCAGAACAGCGCATAAATGCATTTGAATATAAATGTTACAGACAGGTTCTAAGAATATCTTGGGTAAAGAAAAGAACAAATGCATCCATACTTCAAGAGCTGAATATTGAAGAGGGTTGGCTAGTAAAGACAATAAAACAAAGAAAATTGAAATATATTGGTCACTTGAAACGTCATGGAAGTCTAGAGAGAACAATAATGGAGGGGTATATGCCTGGGAAGAGAGGAAGAGGAAGGCCAAGGAGAAGATGGGTGCAGGATGTGGCAGATGATCTCCAGAAGGGTGTATCAGACGCAGGACATCTTGCTCAGGATAGGAAGGTTTTCCAGAGGGTTGTTATGGCAGCGAGGTTCCGCGAGGGACATGCTACTGAATGAATGAATGAACAATTTGAAATGCCTAGGGATCATGCTGATATTATTAATGCCCTCCGAGAAATGGTAAGGGTGGAAGACTGGGAGCAGTGAATCCACATCACTTGCAAGAATTATATACTTGGAGGTTAAGATCAGCATAGCTTAAAACATGTGTACACTAGAGGACTTGTTTATCAACACAGAACTGGTACTATTAGCTGCTGGATGGTGGGGTTCATACTGAGGGGAGGATCTGAGCAACTATGGATCTGTTCAGAGTGCAATGATGATAACCCAACTAACTTACCAAATCTGAAATGCATCAGAGGTAAAATTCTTCCAGTGGATTCACCAACCAGTATTGTGAATGTCGCCTTTCCTTGTTAGTTCAAACATCCTAACCGGGCTTTACATCTTTGTCACTATGTTAGCACTGAGTGCTATGGGGTAAAAGAAGACCAGCACTCAACAATGCTCTCATTGCTTTTAGAGAAATCCATGTGTTCTCTAAACTGAGAACATCTGATCAATAATTTAGTTTACAAAAACAAATATAACTAGTTGAAGAGTTCCTAACGCTGTGAGGCATTCCGGCAGTAGAGAAAAGAAGACGAGTTGAGATCCAACACTCAGGATATCTTCATGGGCACTTCATCTTAATCTTCAGCAGTCAGCAGAGAGATCACATTCTGACTGTACCAGTAGCAGAAACAATTATTTTACAACAGTAAAATAATGAAATAAAATTTAACAGGTTGACTTTACTTTCTTTTATTTTGCCAAGCAAAATCACAAATTTGTAGTAATTTTTTTTTTGAATATGTACAAGAATAGCAGTGCATTAAAAACAATGTTAAACTACCTTTCACCATAATTACTTGGACATATTTTTAAAGCAACATTCTGTGCAACTCTTCTGGTTTATATTTATAAAGTGTGTCTGAAACAAATAATTAGGCTGGGATTAAAGATTGCTTCTAAAAATTAAAACCTCATCTTTAAATTACTACAATCCCATTAAACATAATTACCATTTCAATCAAATGCCATCTCCAAAGTGAAGGTTGGCTGCAACAGATCTCCAAAATGGTCCATCTCTTGTCCTGGTTGTACTCTTTCTCCGACTGCTGCCTGTCCATATACTAATATTGTCCTCCCACTTGTATCGTTTTACTTTCAGTAAATACCTTTTAGGACCGACTCAATTATAAAATATAACAATTTAAGAAAGAGAGAGAGGAGGAAAAGAGTCAAAGGAATCTCTTTTCACGTCGACGCGTTGGCTATATGGTGCTAGCCCCATATTTTCATACTAATCAGTACTCAATAGGCAATGTCAAATAACATGCTGGCAGCATTTACTTCTCGGGAAATTGCCTGGTGCCAATTTTTGTAGCCATGGTGGATCTGGAAGTCTCTAAATGAAATCAACCCTGCCTTAAAGAAGATTTAAACAAATGACTGTTCTTCTAGTCAAGCAAAATGGAAAGATAAGGCTACTACAGTTCTGTAACAATAGAGGCCTGTTTCACCTTCACCTAAGGACTTGACGTTCTTTGCCTTTATCTTCTTCTTTGCGACGTTTACAATATATAATTGTAAATATAATAATTAGGGGAATCATTTAGGGACTCTGTCATGTTAGCAAACACAATCTTTAAATTATGTTCCCCGCCTTCATTCAGACGTGTAGCTGACAACATTGTCTTTTAACCAGAAAACGTAAAATAATCAGCCCTTAACTTGTTTCTATGTGCTAGCACAAGTTCAGAAGACAACAGTAAACAGCAACACAAGAAGACATGTCAGTAGATCTCACAATACGTTCTATAATTTGTCCCTGTGGATTCTGGGGCTCTATTTTGAGGGGGGAAACAACAGAACCCCCGACCAACAGGCAGGTTGTACAAGACCATAGGGTATTTCCTTTAAAGTTGGAGTGAATCTGCCCGAGAAGCTAGGAACCAACAATCTGCCCATTAAAAAAACCAGGTCTGAAAAATGGATATGCACGCAAACCTCAAGCAGGTTCTGGGACAATTAAAATCCAGAAGTGGATGTACAACCATAACTTCTTGTTGAAGTTTACAGCCGGTGAATGCTAAGAAAAAGAAAAGACCAATAATTATGTACCTAAATACTGTCAACAAAAACACTGAACAAAACTAAGAAAAAAAATTACACAGCCATATTCTCATCATCTACTTCTGGATCACCCCTACTCCGCTTGCTCTGTGTTATCTCACGTCTGATCTCAGGACAAATATCATGATGTTCATGAGCTGAAATCAATTTTAAAAGCTGTGACTTCTGCTGTTTGGTCAAGTCATGCTTGTAGCGTTGCACCAGACTCAACAAGCATTGAAACCATAACACTGGCATCTGCTCTCTTTTGTCAATGAATCTGAAAAAGAGAAAGGCATTTGAAATTTACACTTGGATGCAGTTAACTGAATTTGGATTAATGAAGTAGACACACAAAGCAGTTAACTGTTGATTTTTAAAATGAAGTAATAAAACAGAAACAAAACCTTTACACGCACACACACGGATGTTAAGAATGAGAAAATATTAAGATACTCCAATAAATGCTCCGTCATTTGCAGCTTTTATCTGTCAGAAGGAGGACTGCATATTTTTTCTATAATTTTATGATTTTCCATGCATATTTTCAAAATCTACATGTCCACTGGCAACAGTCATTTTTTTCAAGCTTCCTTAATAATGCTTCACATGCTTATAACACAGAATACCATTTCAATTTATTAATTTACATACTTTTGACTAAATGCTTTAAAAATCGTGTGGAATATTAATGTCCCCACCTCCCAAAAAATGTAAACATTTTATTTAAAACCATTTTCCACGCCTTCAGCATTTAGGACGAGATCTATATATTTGTTATACCAATCGGTACTCGTTGAAAGATATGGTCAGCATCACACTGGTCACCTTTATTTCCCAGGACTTTTGCATGGACTCATTTAAGGCTAGGTCTACCTTGGAGCCAAGGTCATTTCTGAAAGAAGTCCGGCCCCACCAGAACTAATGACCTTCCAATACGCAGAAAAGTGTCTAGCCGCTATGCCAAGGAGGCTTCCAAATGAACTGTCCTTTTGCAAAAATCAGCACATGCTGGATTGATCTTCTTTACATTGTATAACATATTGAACAGGGGGGTTGGCTAACATAATGTTAGATACTGTACCAATTGTCATTCCAAAAAAAAATCTTGAAATAAAAAAAATTTTGGTTTTCAAAGAACATTTGTCAATATAGAAATATACTTTCAATATAGAAAGTGTAAATTCAGTAATGTAATAGACATTTTGTTATGTAAAGCTAAAAATAAACTTTTTTACTGTAATATTTGTATGGTCACATTTTTCTAACTTTAATACAAGCACCAAATACAATCTTCAATGACCCTATGCCTATAATAAAACATCTATTTTAAAAGAGACTGCAAAATCAGAAACAGAAAGAGACAGTATTGTAGAAAAGTACTGGCTCACTCATACCTCATAAAATGTTCAACTACAGCATCAATAGCAGACAAGGGCAAAGAGTATTTCTTGTTGATGATTGCCCTCATGAAGATACTGTTAGCTCCATTATAATCCATCCTGGATATGAGAATCAAGGCTGCAGCTGAGTAGCCTACAGGGATGGATGACTGGGCAACAACTCCTGCAACAATTGTAGCTTCTCTGAGAGTACAGTCCCCTGCCTGGAAAAAATAATCTTGGTATTTCAGTAAACACAATATAACTTGAAATGCTAAATATAACATAATAGGTGACTAGAAATCTAAATGGAGGGAATGGAAAAGACTCACACAAATACAACTGAACATTTCGACCAGTTTTTAACAGAGTACTAAATACATACAAACTGTGACTGGAAAACTGAAAGGACGAGACAACAGGGCTTCTAATAAACCGAAGCAAACCAAACATCCGTTCCAAGTAAGACTTTCTTCACTCTAGAAAAGAAGAGTGTATTGTTTTTAGACTAAGAACTGGAATGTTTTTTGGTATTGGAACCACAGAGATGTGTCCCTGCAACCTGGCACCTGTAAATGCTGAGTATATAAATTCAACACTGTACACTGATGAAAGTGAAGCGATCTAACCTGTTCCCACTTCAATCAAAATCAAGCTGTATGATACACAGAGAGATTTAGTTGTTTTTAGATATTTCAGCTTTCTTAAAGGTTTTCTGATAGAAGATATGATAGAAAAGGTGTTGAAGAAGAAGAAAAAAGGAACTTACTGCTAGCATATAATAGAAGGCTATAGATCAATAGATCAACCTTCCTAATGCCACGACCTTTTATTAAGTTCCCTCGTGTTGTTGCGACCCTAAAAAATTATATGTCCCTTCATAACTTCAATGAATACAAGTGTTTTCCGATGATCTTAGGTCACACATGTGAAAGAGTCGTTCGACTCAAAAAAGGGTTGTGACCGACAGGAAGAGAACCGCTGCTGTAGATGATAAGCAACACCACATGGCAGGGACTATAAGATTTGTTATTGCTCATAGACATTATTAGTGCACTCAGCCACCCCATTCATATATTAACTAATAGATACTTTTTCATAGTTCACAAACTCCACAGCATTCAATTGCATAATAATATAACACTGAGCAGAAAAACAAATTTTTACCTCACACAAGGGAAGAACAATTCCTTCATAAAAATCTCCTGGTTTGTATATGCCTTTGTGCAGTGCCTTGAAAGAGAAAAACAATACAATGCATAAAATAAAGTTGAATGACATTACATTATTGACCTGGTCTTGACTAACTCTGTAATTTATTTCACTGGTTATGGAATAGTATTTAACCGTTTCACACTAGAAACCTTTGAAGTAAAAGCAGATAGAGCCTGGGAATTCTCAGAAACAAAATACTTAAATAGCAGAACAATCACTTTACACAGGCCATTAATAAATTAAAAATAAAATGTAAAATATTCCAGGGAGTATCAGTAAAAAAAATGGGCCTAAAAGGTAGAGTGACTAATACCACCATGACTCCATCTAAATGTGACTGCTAAAGGGTAAGGCCAAATTATGATGTTACCATGGCCAAAAAATAATTCACAACCCCCCCCCCCCCTCTATTCAAAGTAAATGCAACAATTTCCGGCTCTCTTTAACCTGTCAGACGTATAAAGAAACAATGCCATTAAATAGGCTAGTCTGTGACTGGCGAAAACAACATATTCTATTTAAGAAAACTTAAAATTAGTCCATCTTCGAAAACATGCCTATGAGGGATAACAGAAAAAGGCAACCTTCCAGGCTGGTTGCTTTGATGGTTTTTTAAAAATAATTTTTATTATACTTCAACTGAGAAAATAAATGCTCAACTCCAAGGCTACAGAAAATGTATGTTGTGCCCCCTTCCTTTGTGATGCCCTAAACATGTTATTGGTGTGCTTAATCCGGCCCTGTCTCCTTCCCCCCCCCCCCCCCCCCCCCCCCCACAATAGGGTTCCATAACCCCACCACAGGGAGGCATACAGATTAATCAGGTTACTTTTTACCGTACTCATAACCTGGTGATTACCTGAAAGAGGTGAAAGTTCAGGCGTTTGTATTCAATAATGTCATCTCTCAATCGGGGCAGGAGGATTAATGAACAAAAGCTGAAAACAGAAAAAGGCCAATGTAAACATCAAAAGAAAATAACAAATAGACCATCATTAAAATAAATTACTACTTTACTCTGTTCCAGTTCCATTTAAGGATTATACGCCAGGTGCCTAGTTACGACAGTGATTCCTAAACTGTGCGCCATGATGCCCCGGGAAATATTAGAAAACACATTTTTTTTTCTATTAGATACAAATAGTCATACTTCTGCGTAGGTTAGGGCGCCGCGGAAAAATTTTAATTGAAAAAAATATGCAGCAACTAAGAAAAGTTAGGGAAACACTGAGTTATGACACAATATATAATAACTGTATTAATACGAGGGCAAGTCATTAGGTGAAGTCAAGTATTCGGAACACAAGATGTTTGATACAAGCCAGGTAGAAGTTTTTGGGTGTGGCCAGTAACCAGGTCTGAACCATTGACATCACCTCATTGTCACCTGTCAATATCCTTTCAATGGGCCAAACAAATGAAAGTTCAATGGTGCCAAGTCTAGACTGTATGCTGGATGTTTTAATACGTCAAACTGCATAGTCTGTAGAGTATCCAATGTATGCGAAACTGAAAGAAAATTTGTAAATGACACCGAGGTAGTATCAGTGTTGCAAACTTAGTTACTGGCCACACCCAAAAGCTTCTACCTGGCAGGCATCCACAATCTGTGGATCGGAGGACTACATGTGTTGCAAGGCTGTAGAGAAATAAAACAGAACAATTCTGTTCCGCTGCGTAAAAAAAAAGTTGTTAAACTTCCCCAAGTAATATAACAGCCTATCACTTTTTAAACTCCGCCACTCGAGCTTAGGCATCCATCTGTGTTTATTGCCTTTAGACATTTTCTGTCTATGGTATTTGTCTGTTTTTATCCATCAGTAAGTTGTCGTTCATTAACTGGGGCCCACGAATACAGGAAATTAAGAGGGGGGGGGGGGGGGGGGGTGCTGAGTGGTCTCCAGGCATGGTGTCCACCTTGAGTGCTAGAAGTCTTGGCCCAGGTGAAGACTCAGGCTTCTTTCACTGCAACTTCTAGTAATTTCCTCTGAGCTCTGGGTAGTGAGATCGAACGCCCATGTGTATTATTGCAAACAAAAAAATCCACTGGTAGGTGGAAATCGAAAAAAGTAGCCTAACGGCGCAGCCCAGGCAAAATTTGGAATTTGAAATATACTTTTAAGATCCTCACTGGTGCTACGGAGTCCGTGCACTGCGCTGAAATTCTTCAGACCCAGAAGTAAAACGGAGCACTTATGGGTTACTACTTGTATGCCATGAAGTTGATCAGTTGTTGAAATCAAATCTAATCAGGGGGAATTAAATGGTATGACAGAATCATTACCGTTCAGCTTTAGGGAAGAACTAAACAAATTCTACAGAATAAAGATGTGAAGAAGGGACTCTGGCGATGAACAGAAGACATACTGGCTGTAGCGGAGATAACATGGAACACAAACTGTTTACTTCATGGAGACTCCTAACAAGTATTGACTGGACTAATAACAGCATGGTCAACTATAGGTACAATTAACTCAATATCACCACATGCTATGCCAGTACATATAGCCTATTTTGCCATCTTGCATGATTACCAGAATCATGGATTAGGTCGTGTTCCTGTCTCCCCCCACATGGGTAAGCCTTCCAACTAGTTATTTATTCGCCTACTCTTACCAACAATAAAAGTTTTGCCATTCGTCACTAAATACCAGAGTCTGTTCCTTCTCATTATATGTCTAAAATAAATAGTGGCTATCTACGCCTAATTTACTGCACTTACTCTTTGAAATGATACTTCGGGAGATTTGAGACAAAAATCCTTGTTGCTGCATAGATGGAGGCTGCTGTCCAGTTCTCAGGCCTTGTCAATTCAACAAGCTGAAAATATAAACAACAGATATCAGTGTTCCCATTTAGAGCAGATAGATCATTACGGTCTTAGGAGAATGGCGCTGCAAGGAGTTTCCATGGGATCTGGCCGACGCTCAACACTAAAGGAAAGGATGAGACGGATATACAATAAGACGGCTATTGGTACCATTGGAATTGGAACTCTTCGCTTGCTGCTGAAGATGGGGACTGAGCACTTAAGGGAGTGTCCCGAGTACTGTGATGTTAACACTTAATTCCACATTTAGAGCTGCGCCAGCTGGCACAGTGGATCATACTTCACAATCTTTCCACATTATAATGCACAGCTGTCTAAAAACTTCTCTCCACCTTCCCTCAATAATCACACTAGCTATCAGTGCCGCTGGGAAAGCAAGAATAGAACGGTCACTGTTTCCCCAAAAAGCATGTCGTAAGAGTCGACTAACTAGGAGCTTCCTTTGAAGTCTGAGTGCATCTGCCCGAGAGGCAATAAACCAACAGTCTGCCTACAGATAAGTTAGATCTGTAAAACGGATGTGCACGGAACACTCAGGTTTTGGAAGAAGACATATAAAGTTCAGGTGGAGGAATAACCAGAACTTTCCACCAGAGTTTACAGCTGGTGAATGTGAGAGGAAAAGAAGATACTAGCTATCACACTTTCATTTGTTTGCTCTCCCACAATGCAGGCAAAGAAATGCTTTTTTTTTTAAACGACCATGAAAATTTTACTTTAAGACATAATATTTTAAGCTGATAGGTAGATTGTTTTAATTAAATGTGAGGTAATAAATGACGGGCAGAAAAAGTTGTCTTTCCCAAATTATTCTGCCTTCATAACATGAGGCTAATGGTTCGGTCTGTGAAAACTCCCATCCAGTACAGATAGGGCCCGCAGTTTATCCTCTGTTCTGTTCTATTTTGTGCAAACACTTTGATATCATGGATAGAACCTATGCCAGCACCCTTGGCTTTTCTCATCAGCATTCACTTTAGGGTTTCTTTTGGACGTTCTTATTTTCTTTATTCCTTTATTGCCCATTTCAGTGCATGTTTGGTGATTTTTCTGCTCATCAACTTATTTCTTCTTCTTTTCTCTACTCGTGGAATGTCTCGCAGTGTTAGGGCAGACAGGAAGAGATCTCTGAAACATGCTTCTGAAAAAAGTACTTTTTAGTGTCTCTGATTTTTTTAGTGTGGTCCTTCTTCTTACTACGTGGTTGACCTTTAGTTCTGTAACAATTTATCTGTATAACATTGCTCTCTGTGGTGCCCTGTGTGACGCCAATCTTGTTGCATGGCCAAACCATTTGATTTGTTGTCTACCTATAAGGTTCTGTACCAACTCTCCTCCTGTTATCACTGTTCCTAAGTCGAACTTTCCTCGTTACACCAAGCATAGTACGTGAACATTTCATTTTTGTCGTGACTATTTTCCTTCTGTCTTCAAAAGACTGTCTATGTTTGATAGATTGTGATAGCACAGCGTTGGTTAGAATACTAAGGTCAACAATGTTCTAATTTCTGCTAATATATGGCCATTTTTTGTCTTTTAATTTCCCTAAGTAGAAAAATCAACGTCCAAGCAGCAATTTCATCGCACATGGTTTTATCACAGATGGCTTGATACCTCTGCCCAGAACAGCTAGCCGCTTGCCAAAAGCGCTGCACAAAGCATCAACTCTATACAGCAACGATCCACTGGGATTTTGCGAAACCAAATAAAGCAGCTATGAAATGCCCTCACAAACTTACCAGTGCTTAACCATAGGCGCCCCCAGAACTTAAATCACTGCACTCTTTGTGTGGGTACTGTCACCCTTTTATAGTCAACTAATTGGGGGTATTTACTTTGAATTTAGAGTGCATCTGCCTAAGAGGCGAAAAACCAATAATCAGCTTGCAAAAAAGTCACACCTGATACACGGGTGTGCAAGCAGAGCTCAAGTTCTGGAATAAGATTAAAGTCCCCGTGTGGGTTCCGGGGCCCCATTGTGGGGAAAACAAGAATAGACCCACTGCCTTCCCAAAAGCATGTCGTAAGAGTCGACTAATTGGGGAGCTTCCTTTGAAGTCGGAGTGCATCTGCCGGAGAGGCAAGGAACCAACAGTCTGTATTCAAGAGAATAAGATCTGTAAAACTGATGCACACGCAACACTCAGGTTCTGGAGCAGGACTGCAGTTCAGTAGTGGACGAGCAACCAGAACTTGCCGCCAGAGTGTTCAGCTGGTGAACGCGAAGAAGAAGAAGATTAAAGTCAAGAGCTGGACGAGCAGCCAGAACTTGCCGCCAGAGTGTTCAGCTGGTAAACGCGAAGAAGAATAAGATTAAAGTCAAGAGCTGGACGAACAACCAGAACTTGCCGCCAGAGTGTTCAGCTGGTGAACGCGAAGAAGAATAAGATTAAAGTCAAGAGCTGGACGAGCAACCAGAACTTGCCGCCAGAGTGTTCAGCTGGTGAACGCGAAGAAGAAGAAGATTAAAGTCAAGAGCTGGACGAGCAACCAGAACTTGCCGCCAGAGTGTTCAGCTGGTGAACGCGAAGAAGATTAAAGTCAAGAGCTAGACGAGCAACCAGAACTTGCCGCCAGAGTGTTCAGCTGGTGAACGCGAAGAAGAATAAGATTAAAGTCAAGAGCTGGACGAGCAACCAGAACTTGCCGCCAGAGTGTTCAGCTGGTGAACGCGAAGAAGAATAAGATTAAAGTCAAGAGCTGGACGAGCAACCAGAACTTGCCGCCAGAGTGTTCAGCTGGTGAACGCGAAGAAGAAGATTAAAGTCAAGAGCTGGACGAGCAACCAGAACTTGCCGCCAGAGTGTTCAGCTGGTGAACGCGAAGAAGAATAAGATTAAAGTCAAGAGCTGGACGAGCAACCAGAACTGCCATTGAACACTAAGAACATCACTGTATTAGGAACAGTCTTATATGTGCTCTGTCCACTCCTTCAGTAGTGAAGAGTTCCCAAGTTTACCTTACATGCTATGGGCCAAAGCTCATGCGCTGCTGGATCGATAACAACAAAAACCTTACATGCTGAGTGAATGAATAGACTACTAACCTGTTGCCAGTTTGGAAAACTTGGAATTGCTTTAAAACCTTTGGGCAGTTTTCCACTTCTATAATGTGACAGCACTTCTCCAATTTTTATGAAATGTTCTCTGACTGTCTCATCGATTTCTTCCTCAACTGGAGCATCACTCATCATCTCTGTTGAAGAAAATCATAATAAATTAGTATGCTCAATCCCCATTTAAAATACTAATTTAAAAAAATAATTTAGATTATTGTGTAATATTCAATGATAAACTTGAGGTATATGGAGCACTGCACAAACAAATTTATCAGACAACAGATGAGGGATATTATTAGGGGTGAAAAACACTTTCACATAGTAAGTTAGTAAATACAGTGACCAGAACGGTTCTACTTCTTGTTGCATTGATGTTTTTTTTTCCTCCAAACGTTGTTACAGCTTTACTCTAATTCATTAATTTCACATGTCTCGACCTTCCACAGATGCTGCCATCCGCTGGTGCCCGTCCATTTCGCCTGTGACGTATGTTTTTAAAGCACTAGTTTCGACTTCTAGATACAGAGATATTTGGAAAATTTCCATGTTTTTTTTGTGTGTGTAACAAAATGTGTAAGCAGATCTGTCCACTGTTCAAGCATGTTATGGAGATTCTGTGAGAGGTAACTGAATTTATGTACTGTCTGCAATTTGTCCTCTTCTTAGCGCTCACCGTTGTAAACTGCATAGAAATAAGCCAGGTCTGTACAATGGATGTGTATGCATAACTCAAGTTCTGGAACAAGACTCAGTCCAGAAATAGATAAAAAACAAGCAGAACATTCTGTCTGAATTTATAGCCGGTGACTAAAAAATATTGAAGACTGCTTTTTCAAACTAACATGCAAGCTGAAAGAAGGACACAAGGATAACGCAACATAACACAATCAAAGGAGCCATGTGAACCAACACCAGACCTGTCATAGCAGTCTTCTTCTCTGCCAGCTTCTCACTGATGATATCTGCTAACGTTCTCCTTTGTGCAGGATTCGGATTCATGAACTTTCTCAGGTCATACTCATCTTCGTCATTGATTTCCTGCAACATGTAATACAAATTTTAAAAATGCTATTTGTTGTTTGTGTGTTTCAACATAATTACACAGAAAAAAACAGATAGGGGACCTTTAGTGCCACATAAATATTTTAGAAAACAGACAGACATGTATTGATCGGCACTCACGGAAAGAAGTAGAAAGACAGGACACACCAGACAACATAGAAATCAAAAACCTATTGTTCCCCTGTGTGGGCTCCAGGGCCCTTTTATGGGGAAAACAAGAAAAGAGCCACATCTTATCCAAAAGCATATCGTAAGAATCGACTAATTGAGAGCTTTTTTCGAAGTCGAAGTGCATCTGCCCGAGAGGCTGGAACCAACAGTCTGCACACAAAGGTGTCAGACCTGTCAAATGGATGCACACGCAACACTTAGGTTCTGGAACAGGACTGCAGTCCAGAAGTGGATGAACAACCAGAACTTTCCAGCTTGTGAATGCAAAGAAGAAGAAAAACTTATTGTTACCATGTCAGGAATCAAAACTTAAGACTCAAAATCACAACAGCATCTGATTGCAGGAACAAGTTTACTAACACCAATGACAAATTAGGTTCCTCACCCCCCCCCCCCCCCCCCATCCCCCCCCCCCCCCCCCCCCCCCCCCCCCCCCCCCCCCCCCCCCCCCCCCATCCCAAAAGAGATTACCAAAGATACATTATTTAGAGTACCTGGTTGGCCTTGCGCCTTTGTACACATGTTTCTTTAATGTAATTAGCATATCTGAAGATCTGTTACATGTTTACTCTCTCTTTCTCTTCTTATCATTCAGCACTGGATTTCTAAATCTGGTCTGCCTCATTCTTCTGTTAGGTGAATCTTTTCTTTCTTAATTGTTACTTCCACATATCTGGTTCAACTGTCGCATTAGTTTGACATATTAGGAATGATCTTAGCCCCTAAAGTACAAGCTAAGTGATGGTCAATGTTAAATTAATAACTGCTTGTGACTGAAAGAGTTAAAAGGGTGGCTGGCACACTATTAAGGGTTTACGGCTACGCTGCGATATCTACGCCTTTCAGCTAAACACATACAATTCAGCAAACTGATATTTAATCACCTTTTACGGCATGTTGGGGGGGAGGGGGGAGTTTGGTGGATCTATACCTTTCCCCTCATCAGAATGGTTTTCCTTAACCCAGGAAGAAATGGATTCAATAAACACTATAATACTTTACCATGACAGTCTTTTCCAGATTGCTGAAATTGTCAAACAGGTGCTTGCTGGCCTCTTCATCGTCAGAGTCGCTGTCGGCAGCTGTGGCTCCTCCCAGCTTAATGTGCTTCTGTGGCAGTGGCCTTCCCTTTGGTGTTTTTTTCCGTGAACTGTGGAATTATAAATAATCTAGGAAGTAAATTAACCAATACTTTTGGTTATTAGTATTAATTATTCAAACAGACTCGTCTCAATAAACTTTTTTTTCTAAAATTAAAGAAGCACAGATCAAATTCTGTTATCCTACTTGGTTCAGTCATTTTCCAGAAGTGTGGGGGAAAGAACTTCATAGTACGAGTCCAAACTTTACTCTAAAACTTCAGTTTGACAGCTGTTTATCCGCTTCTGGACTTTGATCTTGTACCAGAACATGAGTTTTCCCTGTGTGGGTTCCAGGGCCCCATTGTTAGAAAATCAAGAACAGACCACTGCCTAATTGATTCGTATGTCGTAAGAGTCAAGGCAGTAAGATCCTCCTTTGAAGTCAAGGTGCACCTGCATGAGAGGCAAGGAACCAATTCTACATACAAATTAGCCAGATCTGTCAAATAGATACAGGACTTTGATGTCATGCTGGTAACGCAAGCAGTAGGTCCATTCTTTGTTCCCTTAAATAGGGCCCTGGAACCCACACCTTGGCTCCCAGGTCAACCCAGTCTTAAATGGGTACCTAGTACAGTGCTGGGAAGCAAAGGTGGTCGGCATGATAGTGACCACATCATCCACTGAGTGCTGATTGGTCCATAAAATATAAGCCAAATATGCCTGAAAGTGTGGAAAATGGTGCATTACTACGCTTTGTTAATCAGCCAAATCAGAAGGGAATGGCAAACTACTGAACATAAAATTGCCTAATTAAACCACAAAGAGCCACAAAATGCTAGGACTAGTTTCTAAAATTGTGTACAGGATACGCAACTATTCATATGCAGCTACAATGTACAATGTAACTAGGGAAAACAAGAAGTTTTTGAACATTACTACGCATAATTTCTTGTATTACCAGCTCTCCAACTTAGAAGAGATAATGTTAATCATCAAAAGAACAATTTCCAGGACTAAAAAGAAATAATTACCCATGCTCTATTCCGTCGTGTTCTCTTTCTAAATCCTCTCCTTGTCTGCGTGCCTGAGCTAAGATCTTTTTTGACAGTTTTTCATCAACAAACTGAAAGAATGATGAAATAAAATAATCAATAATGTGACAAAAATTGTAAACACCAAAGTAATAATGAATGCATGTATCTTTCAATTATTTCAGATTGAATACATACTGCCATTTATTCTAAATAGCAAAATGTTTTAGTATTAAATCAAGATTCAGTTAGGGTTTTTTTTTTTTTGGACAATCCCCATAGTATTAAAAGAATTATTATAATTATATATAGCATTCCAGATAAATAATACAGAAATAATAATAGTAAATAAAACATTTATTCAACATATATTCACGGCTGAAGGAGACATTAAATCAAGCTAAGGAGTTTTCAGTATTTAGGCAGTGTATAAATTTCTTACCAACAGCGGTATAACTACAAGAACATATAAACAGACTGCATTCAGAATGCAATAACTGTAAGATGAAGATCAATGCAGAACAAACATAATTTATGACATTCTCCAAAAAAGGAAGAACCACCAATACCAAAACTGATGGAACTTACCAGCTAAAGCAAGGAGAGAGAGGATTTTAGGCTATCCTCCGAAAAATGGCCCCCATATTATGGCAGCCAAAAACACACCCTGGCATGGCCTCAATCACATGTAAATTGCGGACATCTTTCCGGTGTATGATAAATCTCAGGCGAGAACGCAACAAACCACAAAGTTAAACTCGCTGTCGAGAGTTTTCCTCGTGTCGCGGAGGGGGCTAGACTAGATGGCTGGGATTCACGAGCAGTAGCTACTGCACCGTGCAACTTACTTATTTTATTTGCTCGTGAGTCCCAGCCATCTAGTTTAGCCACTACCGCGGCGCTACACGCGGCGCAGGGGATACTCTCGACAGTAAAAACTGCGTTACCATGCAGCACCGATCGTATTTAGCCAAGTTTCAATGGTGCCACAGCCACAAAGAGCAGATTTCATGCACTTTTTGCAACTTCTGTGCCACTATTTTCAGTCGATTTCGTCATTTTCCCTTTTTTCGTTTCTCATTATTTTTGAGTTCAAGTTTATGAATGTTTGCAACACACAACCTAATGAGGCCCTGTCAGGGTGTTTTTTTTTGGGCCGCCATAATATGTGACCGTTATTTGGAGAATAGCCAGATTTTACAAATCTTGCGAGCATTTTTTCAGAAGACGGAAGATTAAAAAAAGAGATGCAACAAAGATGGCATAAAGCCAATGACGCTTTAGGCCAAATGGATTGTGAAATGCAGACATGTGAATATGAACATTAAAATAAACACTGTTCAACATAATATTCTTACCAATGCTATGCTATCAATGTCAAATATAGACAGTCTTCAGAAGACAGAATAAAAAAGGTCACGACAGAAATGACAAGTTTACGTTCTATGCTAGGTGTAATGAGGAAAGATTTAGAAACAATGATATTAGGAGTACAGTTGGCACAGAACCAATACTGAACTTTATAGGCAGACAACAAACCAAATGGTTTGGCCATGTAACAAGATTGACATCAGACAGGGCACCATAGAGAGAAATTTTAGACATATACAGTAGTAACAGCCAGAGGCAGACCACACAGAGCATGGACCACATAAATATCAGGAACACAAAGTACTTTATATGAAGCAAAGGGCCAGTTCCAGAAATCTCTTCCTCATTCCTGCCCTGACAGTACAGGAAATAAGAAGATAACTGAAAGTCAGGACTGGTCAAACTTTTTATTTAGTCTGAAGGCCACAATTAGAATTACCAACCTGGTTGTGGGCCATTAAGGGGAAAAACATGACAAATATAACACCAAGATTTCCTCGTAAGATATTTTTGTAGGATAATCCAAGATTATAATAATCAAATAATCCCTTGGCTACGCCTCAGCCCAGATGAGACAGCTTTACCCACTGAAGCCCTTCTAAATATTCCTATATGTGTCTGGTTCAAGTTGGTTACTTATAGAAATAATATTACTGAGGGAAAAGGGGGAAAAAAAGGGAGGGGGGGGGGGTGGATAGATTAGGTCATAATTAATTATAAACCAGTATCGATGGTAGAAAAATTGCTCAATTGTAGCCCGCAGGCAATTGCTTATAATACACCCCTCTCTACTAAATGGTGGACTATTTAATCAATGTATGATTATGATAATGGGTGGGGGGGGGGGGGGGAAGTGTAAAAATTATGAAAGTCAGTGTATAAAACACTGTATTATTATATATTCAGTATAATACTGTATCTTCTAAAGAGCCCGGCTCACTAGCGTAGTTGGCTAAACCGGACTGTGCTGTGACCGGGTGACGAACTTCTTGTGGTCCAGGTTCACGCCCGGGGGTAGGCAGAAAAGTCACATTTCTCCCAGATTTACAGGATTTATCATGGAATCAAGGCCGAAGGGTAGCTTAATACTTACTAATTCTGGATTGATTATTGATACTTGAAAAAAAATCTTCTGAATAAAGCCGAATTAACATTTAACGCACAAAAAAAAAAAAATACACTATAGTATAAAGTGTTATTAACACATTTGTTGGCTCTTTTTTGAATCGTTCCCAAAAATGGCGGCTTTAATATGATGGTGTTCAAAAGGGAGCTAAATTGGCCAATTTCTGGCCACAAATATCCAAAAATATCAGAATGCGGGTCAGTTCTATTATATTAAAAATATATGTGCCAGCTCCGGATAACGAAACAAATGGCTCTGACAGGGTCTCAGCGATACGTTACTTGCCGAACTGCTTCTGCGAGTGTGCCTCACCGCCGAGCGTATCCCCCGTGGCGCGGATGGGGACTAAACTAGATGGCTGGGACTCACGAGCGGCAGCTACCGCATCTCCTGCAACTTCCTCCAATTACTGTTCTCGTGAGTCCCAGACACCTAGCGCGGGAAATACACTCGGCGATGAGTTTAATCGCGTTTGGCGCATGCAGACAAGTCTGACATCTACCGCTGCTAAATCCTCCAATCGGAAGAACACAGTATTGCTAATCTGCTTTCATCGTCTGTAATGTCTCGAAATTAGTCAACGGTCGCTAATACATCGTCTACTAGTATCGTCTCTGCAGACACGCTCGAAATTGTTGTCAACGGTCGGTATTTATCGTCTGCTACTACTACCGTGTGCAAATGTTGACATTGATTGTCAAGTAATCCTAGTTTTGCCGCGATTTGTTCCTTGGCAGATAGTCCGTATTTTAGATATACGCGAACACTGTTGTTCGGATATTTTTGGATATTTTATGGCCAGAATGTGGCATGCCGCCATTTTGGGGAATGATTCAAAGGAGCGCCCATTTGTTTAGAATGTAAAACAGTGTGCTAAATTTTTAGTTTTAACAAGCAATGAAATAACAGTAACTCATCAAAAGACCAAAAGCAAAACCAAAACGGCAAAAAAAACATGATTTCATTTTCATACTACGACTTGTCTTTTCAACACGACTACTTCAACTACTTGGTTGAAATATACTTTATCTTCTAAATACTTACTTTACTTTTACTTTTTCCTTCCACGTATGCCGCTAAGCGTTGTGGGGAGATGCAAGTTCCTGTCATAAGCAAGGCGGGCAGCATCTGATGTTCTGAGGCCATGCTTTTGGCAGGTTTCGGAGACCCCGTCAATCCACAGTTTCCTTGGTCTTCCTCTTGCCTTATATCCTGAGCTTCTTTGGTTGAAAATTTGTGATGTTATTTGATCATTTTTCATCCTGGTTAGATGTCCAAACCATTTCATTCTTTGATGTTCTATGTAGTCTAAACATGGTGTAGTTTTGACAGTGTTTCTAATGTCTATATTCTTTATCCTGTCTAGTCTGGTCTTATTCGCTGCTTTTCTTAGACATTTCATTTCACAGACTTCTATTTTTCTTTCATGGGTCTTGTTGATTGTCCATGTCTGGCACTGGTAGCAGAGTGTTGGAATGAAGATGGTGTTTATCAATTGTCTTTTGGTCTTCATGGTTATATCTGGATGTTTAAGCAGAGGTGATAGTTGGTATGTGACAGCATTTGCTTTCTGTATTCTTGTTTCTATCTCTCTGTCCATTCTTCCATCCTCTGTAAATATACTGCCCAAGTATTTGAACTCTTTGGTTTGCTTGATTTTGGCACTTCCAACATTTATATTCCGTGGCCTGTGTGTTCTGCTGATCTTCATAACTTCTGTTTTTTCTGTACTGATTCTCATATTATGTTGTAAACAGCTGTTGTTGAGAGTAGTCAGATGTTCCTGTAGATCATATTCATTTTGATACAGTATGCTTTGATCATCAGCAAAAAGTAATTCGTTTATAGCATACACGTCTGGGTTTGCTTCTACAGTGATCTTATCCATGTATGTTATGAAAAGTAATGGTGACAGTACACATCCTTGCCTGACACCAGTTGTGACTTTGAACCATTCAGAAAGACCACTAGATGTTCTTACTGCACTTTCACTTTTTTCATAGAGGGCTCTGATGTTGTCTAATAATTGACCCTGCACTCCGTAATCGTCAAGAATTCTCCACAGCACATCTCTGTCTACACGGTCGAATGCCTTCTCTTGATCTACAAAGACCACGTTCAGCTCTTTATCGTATTCGTATTCGAGTGTCTTTTCACAGACTGATCTTCTAAATGAAGCATTTAAAATAGACACACAAAAAATATAACTCCAACACATTTGTTTAGATTTTAAAACAATGTGATGATAAATTATTAGTTTAATAACTGCACACTGTAACAAGTTAACTTACACTTACAAGAAATGAACTCACTGACAGACTAGTAACAGCAGTAACTGGTTCTACAAGAAAAAAAAACAATTAAAACATGATTTTCATACCACATCTTCTTCTGTTCTTTTCTTTTCTTTCCGTACACGACTGCTCGGTTGAGCATGTTGTTCGTCAGAAATTTGTTCATGAAGTCGTTTTCTCTGCGTCTTTACTTTTCCCATATTTGTGTGTTTTAACAATGTATTCTTAAAATTCGTGATAGAAACGCCTACTCCAACACAGAACTGCAACCACCATGTGGTTCCCTGACCAAGTATCAGATGTAAACAAATATAAAACTTGGATTCATTTTTCGTCAGAGTTATTCGCCATGAAACGAAACAAAAAGCGATTTCTTCTTTGCGATCGTTTTGAGTTGAGTCAAGAATTGACATCACAGCACTCGGGGCATTCCTATGCATGCCCCGTCCTCAACTTCAGCAGCCAGTGTAGAGTTCCAATACTGATGGCACCGGTCACAATCTGGTTCTATGTCCGTCTTGCCTTCCCTCTAAGTGTAGTGAGCCGGCCAGACCCTATGTGCCTCATTCTCTCCAGAACATAATAAATCTTCTTTCTCTACCGATTCCGTCGCTTGTTCCCAAAGGGACTTGACCACATCGGCCTTGTCATGCTTCAATTCACCACCTATTGGTGCAGATCCAGCCAACCTGTATCGCTGTTCATTACTCACCACGCCGGCATGGTCTGGAGAAAAGATCCCAGGTAATTGCGATCGGTTTTATATGCTTATGATAACCTGGTAATCTTCTAGTAATCTTAGTTTCAGCTTCATAGGAAACAGGTCACCCCATAGTTGCTCCGCTCCTGTGCCAACGAAAAACACACAAAATGTTAATCACAGTTCAAATGAAATCCGCAGCTCAGTGTCACGTCATGCACTCAACTCAGAAGCTGGGCAACGAAACCATATCCTTCCAGTCTACAAATGAGCAAAAATGGAACGGCCACCGTCTGGCAGAAGCAAAAATGTTTGCCACGGCTAAAAGAAGTGGCTGTGCCTAGCGTCTATTTTGACCTGCAGCATTATGTGAGGGTTGATAAACGGTCACCCCAGCAGTACCCTACTATTAGATAGGGAAGGGACTTGAGACATTACATCCACCAGCAAGCGTCGTCCTTACAACAACCTGACTGACTTCGTTAACGACTGTTCACCCAACAGCCATGCAGTTCTTTGGCACGAAGGAGACACATTGAACTTAGGTTTCGGACTGCCGACTCCCTACATTGTTATCACAAGGGACGTCATTGCACATTGGGCATTCCCATGCCTGTTCAGTTATCCGATGCAGCAGCCACTCCAAAGTACTTCTACTAAATGTTCCCATGAGAAGCTGGTTATATTGTCTCCTATCTCGGCCTCGAAGACGGTAAAGACGTGCTTCACCATTCTTTACTCCCATATCACGCAATAGTGCCAATGTCATGGATTCCTCATTATCCACTAGTCCAGTCCCTACAGCTTTGATGATATCTGCTCTGTCTGTACTTTTTCCTGCAATTCTTAGTGCAGTGCTTGCCGCTTGCCAGTTGGTCCGCTGGCTCATTTCCCTTTACTCGGTGTGTAGATCAAGGTTACGGAGGTTTAAATTCGATTTTCGAATGCTTTCTACCTATTCAGAGCGCATGCCGCCTGTTACTATCTTCTGAAGCATATTCATGGAGTCTGATAGAATAACTGCCTGTGTGGCGGTTTGCTCGGATACCCATGCTAAAGCTCTAGAAGCAGCGGCTATTTCCATGGTCATGCTTGACGTGGTTGTCAGGTAAACGCCGCTGTCCTCCTGTATTGTTTTCACCCTTCTTTGCGCTGTGTATGCCCATGTTGACCTTGATCCACGCTTCACGGATCCGTGTAGATGATATCTTCTGAGTCTGAATGCTGATCTATCAGTTCCCTTACTTCTGTGTCTACGGCCGCGGGAATTTGATCCCGGCAGTACCTTCTGAGTGTGATGACCACTTTAGATATGCCATGCATGTCTACTGGTGTATTCGTCCATTCTTTTCCGTGACTGATCATGTCTAGGTCACATACCTGATAGATTAAATCCTCAGCCTTTGCCATCCAAGAGCGACCTCTTTTGAGACGCGTTCCTTTCGTGTCGTGTATGGCTTTTTTTTTTTTTTAACGTCTGCCGATACCCTCATGCCCGCCTTGACCTGTGTAACTTTGTATTTGCTAGTCATCGTCGGCAAACCCAGGACATAACGCATGGCGTTGCAGGAGGTGTCTTTTGTGCAGCCGAGTATGAGTCTCGTGGCCTCATTATATACTCGGTCCAGTCTTTCTAGCTGGGTTTTGCTGATAGTGAGGAGGCCAAGACCATAGTCAATGACGCCATATACAAACCCTTGATAGAGAAGGACAAGTAGGCATTGTTCAATATCAGCTGCTGCTAGCACCTTAAGTGATGTCAACCTTTTCTGGCTTTAAGTATGACGTTGTCTGCGTGGCATTTGTATGACAAGCATCTGTCAAATGTCACACCCAGTTATTTCATGGTGTCCGTTCTCTCGATGTCCACACCACATATGCTTACGACTGGCGTTGGCGTACTGACGATGTGGGAATTCAGAGAGAAGCATGTTAAGGAAGCTTTGGACGGGTTCACCTGAGCTCTTGATTCCTGGCACCACACACTAAGCGTGTTTCCTGTCTAGTTCGTATTGTAGCGTGGTTGTAATTTCCTGCCTGTTTTTACCTCGACGGTAAACAAGGATATCATTTGCATACGACATTGTTCTGTTTAGGCCTACGCCTTGTGCACTCGTGACTCCTGCTGTGTATACATTGAAGAGCACAGGCGACAATGGTGATCCCTGGGGTCGACCCATTATTACGCGTTGAGATTCTGATGCCCATTCACCACATCGAGCGACACTGTTCTTTCGAATAGCGTTGCAGGGATCCAGTTGACCATTTTTTTTCTGTCTGCACATCCAACAGCAGTCTGATGATCATGATGTATGGGACGCTGTTGTACGCATCTTCTAAGTCAATAGCGGCTGCAGCCGTTTCCATTTCCTCCTGGAAACCCTCATGTATGTCGCAGGCAAATTCTGCAGCATTGCACCATGTATCTCTTCCCGGTCGGTAATCACCTAGTGTAGCGGGGAATAGACCATCTGACTCCAATATTTGGGTTAATGTTCTAGCCACGATTTGCTCCAAGAGTTTTCCAATAGTGTTCTGGAGTGTGATGATTCTGTAGCCATTTATTCTCGTGTGGTTTAGGAACGGTCTGAGGTAGCTGTGGAACCAGTCATCCGGGATAATGCCAGTTTTTATGGTGTTGTTCAATATCGTTGATAATTCATCCATATCTGTCTCCTCGAGGCTTTGTATCTAATGAAATCAGGCCATGGAGATGTGTCTGGACATGTTTTTAGTGTTGCTCTAATGCAATCAGTTGAGATGTATACTGTCTCATCGTCTTCCTCCATTTCAGCCATGTGGATATCGTGTAAACTGTTTCATCTGCTCCCTCTCTTGCCTATCTGGCTGTTCCGTCTGCATGAGAAATCTATGCAGGATAGCCTCGCCCTTGTCTTCATCCGACTGTAACACCACCACGTTGTCCATCTCTAGCTTGGACATAACAGAGATTTGTTTGCCGTCGTTCATCTTTTGGTGGAGCCGCCAGAGTTTTCGTAACCGATTTCTTGGCAAAAATGTTCCCACATTGTGTGTTTAGACTCCTTTGTGAGTTGTTTAAAATGTTAAGCGAGTCTGTCTTTTTTGTGTTTAATGTCTTGTTTCTGAGCCTCAAAAAATTAAAAGGCTTTCTGCATTTCTCCCAGTCTTTGGTGGCACCTCGTTTCTCTGTCCAGGCTTCTGCGACTACAAGTGTCCACCACTGGGGGTTGTTGAAAGATAGCTTTTTTTTAAAAACCGGTTCTCTGCGTGACCTGTCTCGCAGACGCCCAATTACATTAAACTGATGTGCAGCGTTATGGAAAGTAGTTGCTGGTCTCTTATACCTTGGAAGGTGGTCGCTTCCATGATGTCCCAGTACGCCCTATTGACAGAGTGCACCAGTACTGGGAGAGACCAGCGTGAGATCGAGGGCACTGTAAGTATCACCTTCTCTGTCGGAGGTTTTGGTGGGTCTGCCATCATTCAAGCAGATTAAATCCGTGTCTGTTAGTGCTTCCTCCAATGTCACGCCCTGTTTTTTTACTGTAGGATTGCCCCAAGGAAGGCCTTTGGCGTTGAAGTCACCACACATGATGATGTCGGTGGTTATCTGCTCGCACATGTCACTCAAAATTGTCCACTTTTCTTTGTCAACTTTATCATTACAGGCATATTTGTTAATTAGTGCGAAACATTTACTTCCGTCTATCTTCACAGCCTGCACCTGAATTTCGCCGTTGTTCCATTCCCTCGTGTCTACAATATTAGGCCAGCATTTTCTAAGAAAAAATTAAAATGGAACTAGCAGGGACACCTGAACTGAGTAAACTATATAAACCTCAAATACCACCATGGGAATTGAAACCATCATATGAAGACATGATCCTGGCAAAACAGATTTAACAAAACACTGATCTACTACAAATAAGGATCATAGCAGAGCAGTGCGTTAGAAGCATTGAGACTGATAACCTGATAGTCTGGTCTGGTCTGGTAGTCTTAGTTTCAGCTTCATAGCAAACGGGTCACCCCATCTTTGCACCGCTCCTTTGCCAACGAAAAACACACAGAATGTTTATCACAGTGCTTGTGTAAAGATTGACAGACTGCTATCTCAGCATATCTAGCATACACACGCATTAAAGCATACGGTAGCCATCCAAAGTGCTAACACAAACAGTCCATTAGAAATGCAGTTCATCATTGATGGTAGCAGAAGTAACGAACAGATCAGCAGCTGCCTACGCGATCAATTTTAATCACACACGGGCACCTCCAACATTGTGACGACAGGCATCGCACCATTTTCTGAATCTACAATTCACACCACCGCGTTGGTCACAGTCGAAAAAACATTCCAAATTAAATCCGCAGCTCACAGTGTAATGCCATGCATTCAACGCAGAAGCTGGGCGACGAAACTATACCCAGTCTACAAATGGAGCAAAAATGCACCGGCCACCGTCCGGAAGAAGCAAAAAATTTGCCTCGGCTCCAGACAGTGCCCCCGCCTAGCGT